CTATGTGTCTGTCTTTGGCTCTAGTCTAGGGGCTCCCCAAGGCTGCAGACCACACCATTCTTGTGTCCCCTGTGCTGTACATGGTATGGTATATGATTGGAGCTTAAAAAATGTCATTTGTTCAGATCTGTACCTCTGAAACAAATAATGCAATATATGTTAAGAAAAAAAAAAGAAGAAGAAGAAGAAGAAGGTAGCAGGAGGGGAAGAATGAAGCGGGGGAAATCGGAGGGGTAGACGAACCATGAGAGACGATGGACTCTGAAAAACAAACTGAGGGTTCTGGGGGGGCGGGGGGTGGGAGGATGGGTTGGACTGGTGGTGGGTATTGAGGAGGGCACGTTCTGCATGGAGCACTGGGTGTTATGCACAAACAATGAATCATGGAACACTACATCTAAAACTAATGATGTAATGTATGGGGATTGACATAAGAATTAAAAAAAATGTCATTTGTCACAGCCAGTAATAAACTCCTTGTGATTTTCAACTTTAAATAACTTTTATAATTAGCTTTAACTTTAATAATTAATTTAAATAAGTTTTAATAACTTTAATTTAGACGTTAGTTTAATAACTAAAACTTTAATCACCAACTTTATTTATTTTTTTAGAGAGGGAGGGGAAGAGGGGCAGAGAGAGAGGGAGCGAGAGAATCCCAAGCAGGCTCCACACCCAGCACATAGCCTGACACGAGGCTCAATATCATGCCCCTGAGATCATGACCTGAGCCAAAATCAAGAGTCGGACACTTAAGTGACTGAACCACCCAGGTGCCCCTAATCACTAACTGTAATAACTAACTCAGATACCTGGGAGCTATGTGTAAATTATCTCAATTTAGGTTAATCAGGTTAATCATGTTATACATCTGAACCCAGATACTTCGAATGTTGTATTTACATATTTATTTTGAAATATTTAAAATATTATACAATTTTAAGATATCATAGAATTTATTTTTTATAATGGAAACTTTCAAATGTATACAAAAGCAGGAAGGAATAATGAGCCCGTTGTCATGCAGTAACAACAAATACCCACTTTTTTTTTTTTTTAAACCATTCTAGTTTCATCTATTTCCCTCATCTGACCCATTCACTCTTTGGAAGACTAGGTCATTTTAAAATAAATCCCAGACATATTATCATTTCAACCACGAATATTTCAGTATGTAAGTATAATTTCAAATGACTTAAAAAATTATTTGTATATATATCTCCACTGTGCCATTATTGTACCTAATAAAATTAACAGTGATTGCTTAATATAATCTAATAGTCTGTGTTCAAACTTCCCTATTTCAAAGATGAATTTGTATAGTTGAGTTTGTAGAAATCAGGTGAATGTTTTATAGCAAACAAAAAATAGCTCTCAGCAACGAGAAAGTAAATTTCTCATGCCCGTGGTTTCAGGCCCACATCGGCTATGTGAAGGAAATTATATTTGCCTTTAAATGCCATTTGCAGGTTCCCCTCCACCTCACAACTAGATTACTTAAGTTTTACAAAACTGCACCAAACTTTTATAAAGAATCTAGGTAAAACAGAACAAATCAAAAGCCATGCTGGGATGCCTGGGTGGCTCAGTCGGTTAAGAGGCTGCCTTCGGCCCAGGTCATGATCCCAGGGTCCTGGGATCGAGTCCCACATCAGGCTCCTTGCTCAGCAGGAAACCTGCTTCTCCCTCTCTCCCTCTGCTTGTGCTCTCTCTGTCAAATAAATAAAATCTTTAAAAAAAAAAAAGCCATGCTAAGGTCCATTCAAGCACATCCTTTGAAAGCAATGAAATAAATGGGAATTAGAATGGAGAGGATGATTATTTAACAAGAAAGAGATATGCAAAGAACAGCTATTAAGCCAAATAGTTTCCCCCTCAATAGGCAAACCAACAGGACTCAGAGTTGTAGAGGATGGGATCTAGAGGGATGATAACCTTGATGACTTTGAAATTTGCTTTTAATGATCTGTATTTCTCCTGTCCACAATAGGAACTTGGGGTTTCTGAGAAACATACTGGCCCATGTGGTTTGAAGACCAAATCCAATTACCTCAGAGTTATTCTCTTTTTAACGGTAAAGTTCTGATCCATGCTCCACAGGTCAAGAGCACAGTTCAAGTTTCTCTTTGCCCCCTGTTTGAATCATACTTCATTGTTGCCTCCCTGCTTGTCTTAGCTCTGTCCAAAACATGCCGATGGGCAGAGATTCCGGTCTCCACACAATGGCCCGCCATTCAACCACATTCTGCTTTGTCCCTAAACATCAACTCCCCCGGTTCCTGCTGGGTCTGTTATATTCAGATATGAACTTTCCAGGAATCTGATCATGTCACAGGCCTTTTCCTGTATGACAAGTTCAATGCTAATTATGAATAGTGGGCTTCACACAGAGGGTTAGTATTATTCATGAAAATTATGACTCCACATCCAGAAATACGACAAAATTGGCCTAAAATAGGCTGGCTGTATCTCCATCGAGTCCACTAGGCAATTACCAAGGCCTCTTGCTTCAAACAGTATAGGAGTTTTTCTTGACTACATTAATCAGACACACTAGGAGCACAATGTTCTGCCAGACTCTCAAGGTCTGAGGCTCAGCTAGATGGGGAGCCCTGCCCTGGTGCCCACAGGGTGAGCAGAAGGGTTTTCCAAAGAACCAAAGCCAGACTCTGTTCCTTCCCCTACACCCCCCAAACCAGGTACTCCCCAGTTCTCATTCCCAACCTCTGTATGTCTCCCTGCCCAGACCATTTCAATGCCAACTTCAGAAGCTTTGAGAAGCCTACTAAGGGGCCATAAGAAAAGGAAATGATATTTAATTTTCCTTTTTTGGAACAGTGAGGCACATCCTGCAAATATTAGGAATTAGAGGAGTACTAGATGGGTTGTACCATTTTCCAGTAATTCTCTCTTCTGGAACTTAGTTTCAGTGACCACATGAGTTGGCTCCCATTGGCCCAAATTATATTTTATGAATGCAAGTTGAGGATTATCTTTCCAAATAAAAGCGGCCAGATTGAAATCCCCTCTTTGCCATTCCTGAGAGAATGACATAGGCTAGTACTAAAAGACGATCTTTGTGTAGAACAAATGGACCGAGCAAAATCTGCTTTCCTCTCCCCCTGCCCCCTTTCTTCTTTACATAACTAGAGCCAAATGAGATGTTTTTCATTTTAAAAATTTGATTAAGCAGACTGAGCAAAAGCCCATTCTGCTGGTCTTTACTGTTTTCTCAATTTTGGGACTAAATCAAGGAATACTCGGGTTGGAAGGGGAGTGAAGCCAGGGCCTCACTACCAGGCCATGGTCTCATTTGGGAGTTTAACTTTCGGAACGTGAGCGGTGGGGCCTGCAGCACCCCTTCCCCATGAGGCAGCAGAATTCAGACTGCTGTGGCAGGCGTGAGTGAGAGGTCCCAGGTCCCCCACAAACCTCCATATCACACTACATACACAGCCTCTAGGGCTGAGGAGAGAGGAAGGTGGCAGGGCAAGGAGTGAGGGGAAATAATATGGTAAAAAACAATCCAGACAGAATTATTATGAATGAGCTGTCCTTTTCCTCAGCCTAGTAACTGAGAAAAAACCTGCTCCCTTGGCATATTTAAAAAGATATTACAGGGCGCCTGGGTGGCTGTTGGTTAAGTGTCCAATTCTTGATTTTGGCTCAGGTCATGATCTCAGGGTGGTTAGATCGAGCCTGCTTAAGTTTCTCTACCACTGCCTCTCCCACTCCTCTCTCTCAAAAAAGAAAGAAAAAGGGGCGCCTGGGCGGATCAGTCATTCAGCATCTGCCTTCAGCTCAGGTCATGATCCCAGGGTCCTGGGATCGAGCCCCACATCGGGCTCCTTGCTCCGTGGGAAGCCTGCTTCTCCCTCTCCCACTTCCCATGCTTGTGTTCCCGCTCTCGCTATCTCTCTGTCAAAAAAGAAATAAAATCTTTAAAAAAAAAAAAAGAAAGAAAGAAAGATCCTACGAACACTACATAAGTAAACCCCTTCCAGTACCATTCCAGTTTTGGTTTCTGTACTTTAAACCTTCCTACACTATTTTCTACCTTGTTTTCAAGTGTCTTCCTAAGAGTCCCTGCCACATTGCATATTCCCTGAGGGTCAGGGTACACTTCTGCCTTTGTACCTTGCACATAATAAACACTGAATATAGAAATGAATGAAGGAAACAGCTAGAAAACAGGCCTTGGAGTAAAAAGCTGAAGAAACTGGGCTTTTTAGTAGTAGAGAGGGATGAGGTACGAGTTATCACACAAAACAAGAGAACATCTTTATGCTGATATGAGGAAAAGGACTATCACATTGGCTTTGGAGGGGATCAATTAGATTTTTCCTGAATACCATTTTTCAGGGGAGATAGCGCATCAAATGCAAATAATAAGTAATGTCATAGTTTAGTTTTACTGTCTACAAAGGGATTCATCATTCACTCTAGACAATTCTCTCCCAAAAGCGTGAGGTAGTATTTTTTTTAAGATTTTATTTATTTATTTGACAGAGAGAGAGAGAGCACAAGCAGGGGCAGCAGCAGGTAGAGGGAGAGGGAGAAGCAGGCTCACCGAGCAGGGAAGCCCAATACGGGGCTTGATCACAGAACCCTGGGATCATGACCTGAGCCGAAGGCAGACGCTTAACGACTGAGCCACACAGGCGCCCCATGAGTGAGGTAGTTTTGTTTCCCTGGCCTGCTACTGAGCTCTTGCCATCTCTCTATCCATGAATGAATCAGCATGAGGAAATTAAGTAGAAGTAGAAATTCTGGGTGGGCTTATCCATCAAGGGAATGCAGGTCCTGAGGGAACCAGGCCCCCTATTTCTAAAAAGCCTCAACAAGAGAAGGGAAAATCCTCAGCCCAGGATTGCTTCTCCTTTCACCTGCTTCATGAAATCCACCTGCCTGAACAACCTGCCTTCCGGCAGTGGCCTTCCACTCTGTACCCTCGGTGCTCAGTGTCCTGAGACCTTTCAGGTGGCGCATTAGAGCCTTACTCTGACAAGCAGGAATCTCGCAGTACTTCCAGTAGACACCGTCCTCATGCTCCGCCACGTAGCACCAGGGGCTCACATCTCCATCTGGATTTCTGTCGGGGAAAGGACACACAAGTACCATTTCTGTCATGTTAAGTCAACTGGTTCATTGCTTTTCAGGTTTACCAAAAAGCATCAGCTTCTGTGTTATTTCTAATAATTGGTATGTATCTCAGTGCTGCCTCTTATGAAAAGAAAAATGAGGGGCGTCTGGCTGGCTCAGTCTGAAGAGCATGTGGCTCTGGACCTCAGTGTCCTAAGTTTAAGCCCTACGTCGGGTGTAGAGATTACTTTAAAAAAAAAAAAAAAAAATGGAGAAAAAAAATGGTAACACTACAAGAACAAACTCATGCACTCTGACATACACTTCAGAGTTTGGGGGCGGGGGCTCTGTGTGGTGAACAAAGCTGATATAATTTCACAAAGATTCATGACAGTCTAACCAGGACAATTAACCACAGAACAAATCATGCCAAGCAGCACTAGCACTTAAGTGTTGTCACACCCATGGCTGAGAGCACAGGTGCTCGCAATACTGTGGATAAGAATGTGAACGGGCCCAGGGGCGCCTGGGTGGCTCAGTCGGTCAAGCGTCTGACTTCAGCTCAGGTCATGATCCCCTGACCTCAGGGCATCGGAGCCTCAGCTGGCTCTGTGCTCAGTGGGGAGTCTGCTTCTCCCTCTCTCTCTCCCCCTCCCCCTGCCTGTGCTCTCTCTCTCTCTCTCTCATATAAATTAAAAAAAAAAAAAAATCTTTACATAAAAAAAAAGAATGCGAATGGATACACATGGTCAGGATGGCAATTTGGCAATTAGAGCCAAAGGCCCAAAACATATGCAAAACCCCTTTACCAGGCAATTTCTCCTTTAGTACTTTATTTTAAGCCAATCTCCGCTTACAAAGATGTTCACCACAGCATTTTTATAATACAAAAAAGTTATAAACAACACTTAAGGATTGGTTAAGTAAATATGTTATATCCATATAAGGGAATGATAAGCGGCTAGTAAAAATGCGGTGTAGAGACACATTAATTAATATAAAAAGATAACCACATGTCTTGTTAGGTTTTTTTTTTTTTTAAAGGTAGTTCAAAAACACGATGGGTGACACAATCCTATCATTTGAAAAGATGTATTCAGGCGAGGATACACATCAAACCCTTGAAAGTATCTCTGGAGAATGGGACTATCAGTAATTTATTTTTTCTTTTCTGCTTCTCTTTATTTTCCTACTTCTTCTACAATGAACACTGATTGTGTAATTTTTAAACAATAAAATAAAATTCACATAATACAGACTCCACTGACAAGCTTTCACCAGCATCAGGCTAGTTGGCACATGCTTGACAGAAATGGGTCCTATTCCTCCCTCAAAATACTAACTTCTCAGGGGCGCCTGGGTGGCTCAGTTGGTTAAGCGACTGCCTTCGGCTCAGGTCATGATCCTGGAGTCCCGGGATCGAGTCCCGCATCGGGCTCCCTGCTCGGCGGGGAGCCCGCTTCTCCCTCTGACCCTCCCCCATCTCGTGCTCTCTCTCTCTGTCTCATTCTCTCTCTCAAATAAATAAATAAAATCTTTAAAAAAAAAAAAACTAACTTCTCAGGAAATTCTGAAGAAAGCTAAGCCAAAGAGTTTCAGTCAGAACATGCAATCCTGTGATCCTGGTACCAACTTCTGATGCGGCAGTAATATTTTTTAAAGGTTTACTTCACATTTCTAAAATGCCCTCGAAGGTCTTTTCAAGTCAAGGGGCCGTCCTGCTGAAACAGACCCCAAAATGGCCAGGGCTACCACACACACAGAAAAGCCTTGCCTCCAAGCTCCCTTTCTTTCGACTCAAGACACTGGAAACCTGACACTCCAGTTGGGCCGGAAATGGGCATAAAGACCCTGCAGCGGGAGCTTTGGACCCACCCCTATGGGGCACGAGAGGGATAAGCCTATTGTGTGGCCCAGAAGATAAGCTCCCTGAAGCACAAAGGGTCCTTTCATTTTTCTGTGCCCAAAGGCAGGTGCCAGGCCAACTCTGTTCTTCCCTGTCCCTCTGCCTTCCCCTCCCATCCAGATCCCTCGAGCCTGGAGGAGTGCATTCCCGTCACTCGCCATCTCCCAGACATCTCCACTGCGATGGGTCTGGCACCCGAGCACAAGACAAACACGGTATCGGGTGTCAGCTGAGAAATCAAAGCAGGAGAACTTGTACAAAGCCCTTCTTTAAACAGCATTTCACTGTCATCTTCCTCCCTCTATTCAGCGTCCAGCTTTGATGTAGTATTTGGTAAAGACGTTAGGAAACAACTGTTTATTATCAGTGTCAAAACCATTCTGAAAGGCATGAGAATAGCTTAATAAAGAAGAAGCAAATGCATCTTGGATTTCGCAGCAGTGCTTAAAAAAAAAAAAAGCCTGGACTCGCTGATGTGATAATAATCAACATTTCGGCCTCCCTTTTTTCTGAAGCAGAAACTGGTAGTTCAGGTCTGGTACATTCCATCAAGTCAAAGGAGAGGCTGCTGCTGGCCAGGGCTGAGGAGGAAGGTGCCCCCCCCCCCCGCCACCGCCCCCAGCTCTCCCAGTGGAGAACCACCTGCATTTCTGGGAGCCTGGGTAGGGCTGGGTGCTAATCAATGAGAAAAGACTTTTTCATATAAATTAAAACTCTCTGGAAATTTAAAATTCACCTTAAAGTCAGACTTAAACCTAGGAGTTCTTCTGAGAAGTCGTGCTTGATAGAAAGCAACAGAATAATAGCACAAACTAGTAGCCCACACTCAAGAGACACTTTGGAATGAGAATATAAGTAACTATTGTAAAAACAAACAAAAAAACCTTCCAAACACTGGTTCTCTTCCTAAATATTCTTCCCAACCCAACCCAACTCTTTCTATGAGTAGCAAAAGGGAAGGAAATAAACCAGAAATGGAGTGGGGTTAATTTCCTTAATTATGCAAAAAAGGTTTTAAAATGAGTATGTGTAACTCTGAAAATAAAATGTAAAAGAATGACTTAACGAGCATGTGTAACTTTAACAATAAAATGCAAGAGACAGCAAAATGTGAAGTAACACAAATTGTTACCTCTGGGAAATGGGGCTTGCTGAGGATTTTAGGGGAAAAGATGTCAAAAGATGACCTTATTTAAGCAATATTTATCTGTAGTTTTTGAGAATTTTTTTTGGAAAAGCTTTTAACATTTTTATAATAACAACTAAAAAATAATCCAACAGCCACTGTGGGGGAATGGCCAGTTGGAACAAATTAGAACAGAGGTGATGGAAAGAGCTGTAGGCACAGGGATAACCTGGATGACAGGCATCCACAAGGGTCCTGGAGTGTTAGTAAAGGTACACAGGGAGAGCAGAAGGTGAACAGCGTGGCCCATGCAATGCAGGTATGAATATGTTGGCTCAGCAGGGTCGAGAGTGCCACAGCTGAGATTCCAACATACTGGTAGAACCAGGGACATAGCATGTGACTCAAAGTGTAGCTCAGTCAACACTTCTCCCTGTCCTGATGGCTCAAGAGGCTGCCTTTGCATCTGTCCTAATAATAACTAAATTCGACACAGTGCTGATCCATGAGTCACATTATCAGGATCTTGAGAAGAAATAGCTTAAATGTAGCTATAACCAAAAGTGCTTAGAATCTTTCTTTGCTCTTGTCCCTATAGACCAGTGATTCTTAACTTGTTTTGGATCACCTATAACTTTGAGAATCTGATCAAAGCCATGGATCATCTCTGTGGAAAATCTCTCTCTCTCTCTCTCATATAAATTAAAAAAAAAAATCTTTACATAAAAAAAAAGAATGCGAATGGATACACATGGTCAGGATGGCAATTTGGCAATTAGAGCCAAAGGACCTGAAACACCTTGGATCTCAGGTGAAGAGCCCCTGTCAGGGTCAGACAGGAGGTTAAGACCAAAGAAACACCTTATTCTATGGAGAGGAAGGACACAGCACAAATCTGATGGTTACAGCTGCTCTCAGAGCAAGGCTATCCTGGGCTGGCGGGAGGTGGGATAATGTAGGACAGCTTCCTTTGCTCAGAAGCAGAGGGCGGTTTGGGCCACAGATGGTGCTCTGCTTGACCACCACATTCACAGGAGCTTAAAAAGCTTTGCTATCTATCTAGTGTCCACTGGTGGCAGGGCCAACTAAGAAAGCCCTTCCCAAGAAACATGTAAGTGATCAGACAGGAAAGCAGAGCTCTGAAAACTTGTACCAAAGCAACCGGAGTTGAAAAGAGTGGAAGATTGTGTATGTGTATGTGTGTGGCAAGGTGTGGGAGGAAGATTTTTAAAATAGTAACAAGAAAGGCCTTCTGAGTTGGCTAAAAGAAGACAAAGAAGCTTCCTGTAGTTGTGAGCAAGGCTGGATGGGACTGGAAAAGAAGGCCAAAGATTTTTTTTTCTAAAACACTGTGTGGCCCCATCTTACCTGCAATAGTTATGCTCGCCTAGGCCCCCCTCCCCGTTGGGGTATTTCAGAGTGTTGTATGGATGCTGGAAAGTCTCGTTCCAGAACAGGCATGGCTTCCCTCCTTGTAGTGCTGTCCAGTTCTGCGTTCCCCTATAATCTGCACCATTGGCTGTGAAACATTCTAGGAGAAAGAAAAGACAGAGCAAGCTGATTTTCTGGCAACATCCACAGTCTCCTCCCTCTCTGGTTGATGTTTTGTTTGTTTCGTTTGGACCCAGCTGGAAATGGAGAGTGTCTTGCTAGATCCTGGACGCCAAGAAGTTAACATTGCTAGGGCTGAGTCAATCTGAAACGCAGTCCCCTTCAAATGCTAGGCTAGTCTTGGCACTAGCTTGTCTACAGGCACTTTCCAGACATTTTCCCCCTAAAGTGTATAGATCTCAACTCGGATATAAACAGGGAGCCAAAATGTACTGAAGCCCACGAAGGGAACCAGGAAACCCCCAAATCTGGGAATAGTTGGTAACAACCATCACAAGGAATTCTGGGTGCTCGGAGGGGGTCCCTGGTCTCGCCAGTGTCTCTGTGTGGTAACTAGAAGCAGGTCACCAGCTGTAAGTGAGCTCTCCCCTACAGTCTGAAAGGCTGCACTGACACTTGGATTTAATAAGACCATCGGATACAGCAACGCTTTGGAATCCCAATCACACAAGTCTGGGAATGACTCACATTCCCTGGTAATGAAGAACAGTCCTCCCCATGCCGTTTGAGATAGAGATGCAATGGAACAGACAGTCAAGAGGAGGGAGCAGGGGCCAAGTTGGCATTTTCTCTCACCTCTTTCCGAAATTCCTCCCTACAAGACACACTGAACATCGTCTCAGGTCCGTTTAATAAAATGACAAAATCCTTGCAGGTGCAACAATGTGCTTCTAAAATCTGCTTCTCAGACTCTGGGGGGATGGGAAATGAGGCTGATAGGATTTCCCCCCCACATATTGCATGCATTAAATTCACAGAGGTTCATGAGAAAGGCACAGTACAAAGAGTAATTTTTAAAAATTAGCTTACTTGAAACTGACAGAAATACTTCAAACACTTCTTGAAGATGTATCACTAGGAACCTGACGATCTGGGGGAGTAACACTGACATTCTCAGCTTGCTTGCTTTCCTTCCCCTGGCATGCACTGACCTCTAACTTCCGGTATGAAGGACTCTTAGCACTGTCTCCTGTTGCAGGGCATGTGCCTGCTCCAGCCTAAGCATGTGAACAACATGAATGCATCTACATTCTAGGAGCTACTTCTTTTAATATTTAAAATCTATCCACAGACCATCTCTCTTCCTGTACTCCCTTCCTCCCACTATCTGGGCCTTTTTTTAATCTGGAATAGCACGGTTCATGGTTTTATGGACAGCCAAAATAACCTGGAATTCCAGGCTGTACAGAACATCATAGCAATTTATCATGTTTGGTGTGACATTCATGTTTACAGTCAGTGCAACGACCAAACACTCTGCCTAGAGTGTGCATAAATACAAAAGGTCAAAGGTAATTCAAGGAGGCAGCTCAGTGTAGCATAAAATACACTGAACTGAGAAGCTAAGCTTTGGTTTCTTTTTTTTTTTTTCTTAAGATTTTATTTATTTATTTGACAGAGAGAGACAGCGAGAGAGGGAACACAAACAGGGGGAGCAGGAGAGGGAGAAGCAGGCTTCCTGCCGAGCAGGGAGCCCGATGTGGGGCTCAGTCCCAGGACCCTGGGATCATGACCTGAGCCAAAGGCAGACGCTTAACTGACTGAGCCACCCAGGTGCCCCTAAGCTTTGGTTTCTTGTGCTGGACCTACCGCTGGCTGTGCGACTGTGCAACCTTGGACGAATCACTCATCCACGGCACCACTAACGCTTACATGGTGTTTCACCATGTGCCAAGCTCTGCTCTAAATGCTTTACAAATATCAACTCCCCACCAACCTGGTGGGGAGGTCCCTCAATATCCCATTTTACAGATGGGGCAACTGGGGCACTCAACCACCCTCTCCAGTGCCTCTAATAGGACCTCTTCAGGTCATCCTTGCTTTCCCTGTCCTCTCCCTCACCACACTTTCCACTCATCAGCAAGTCCTGTTGACTTTCTTAAAATATATACCCTGAAACTGCCCTCTCCTCTTCATCTTGGGTGCCACTTTAGTCCCGTTCACCATCAGAGGACAGTATAGCCTCGTTCAGGACTCACAGCCTCCATTTCTGCGCTCAAAGTTCCCAGGAAAATGTGAGCGCTGGGAACAAAACCCACACCCTTCATCCTTGCCTGCTAAGCCCCAGGCCTTCCCTCTCACCGCACCCTGAGCTCTTCTCCTAGTCACTTGCCATGCTCCTGCCACACTGGTCTGCTTCTAATTCCATAAACACACCATGCTATTTCCTGCCCAAAATGTTCTTCCCCTAATATCTCCCAGTGCAGACTACATGTTACCACCTCAGAAAACCTATCCTTACCATCTCCACTCCTAGTTTTCTGCCTTTTGCCTGTTTGCTTCATAGCATTTATTATCACTAGAAATATATATGATCTGCTAGACAGGAAGAGTGTGTGTGTGTGTGTGTGTGTGTGTGTGTGTGTGTGTACCAAACCCTATCCTGACTCCAGGGATAGAGTGGGACCTGGAAACCTGTATTTCTAAAAATCTGCCTAGGTTAAGTAATTTGGCTTGGGAACCACTAGACTAGATGATTCTAAGAGCATCAAGCCAATCTTCTGCCAATTGCTAGAATTTTAATTGCTATGTGCTGATACATCTTTTTCTCCTACCACAAGTGGTTGAGGACTGGCCCAGGAGCCAGAAATGCCGGCCAACCAATGGAAGGCCTTAGCCATAGACAGCAATTTGCAGGACAGTGGGGTCAGTGTTCCCAGAGGCTCAGATGACTTGATTTGTAACACAAAAGAATGTGGTGGCCATCCACACCTGTCAGTCCTCGTGAATGGGGATGAGGAGGCATCTGAGAGAGGGAATGGCAAAATGCAGGCCTGTTTGCTTCAGTCTGCTTCTCCTGGACCCAAATCTTATTCTCAGTTGCATTAGGGAAACTGAGGCAGTGTACCACATTTTATGATTATTTTTTTAATGGATTTGCCCAGTGCATATCAATTGTGGAGAAAAACAAGAAAAACAAACTTGAACATTCTGGATCAAAGTGACGTGGGCATCTTGATTTCATCAGAATATCAGGGCAGGTAATGAGGCCCCCTCCTGCCTTTCTGTCTACTGCTATAAAACTGACATAAGCTCTGACTAGATAAACAAGAAATGGCTTAAACCAAGAAGAAATAAAATACCACACGGCCAGCTGTAGATTTAGGCATTCAGTGAAAGGGAACGAGCAAAGATGATCGATCTCATGTCTAGCACATCGTTAATTAATCCATTCAACAAATATGTATTCAGTACATACTATGTGTCTGGCACTGTTCACAGCACTGGGGCTACACTGGTGAACCCCGCAGTCACGGAGCTCCTAACAAACCGATCAAATTCTCATCAGGTAGTGAGGAACGCTGTACGGAAAAACGGACTAAGGGGATGGAGACTGAATGGTGGGGGTTCTTTTTTAGGGAGGGTGGGCCAGAAAAGGCCTGGAGAGGAGGAGGCATTTGAGCAGAGATGTGGTCAAAAGGAGGAAACAAAACCATGTAAACCACGTGGGGAGAGCGGTACTGGCAATGGGCACAGCAAATAGAAGACCCGTGTGGGGGGCGCCTGGGTGGCTCAGTTGGTTGGGCGACTGCCTTCGGCTCAGGTCATGATCCTGGGGTCCTGCTTCTCCCTCTCCTTCCCACTTGTGCTCTCTTGCTGTCTCTCTCTCAAATAAATAAATAAAATCTTAAAAAAAAAAAAAAAAAAGAAGACGACCCGTGTGGGCCCCAGTGTGCTTGGCAGGTTTGGGAACTAAAAGGCAGCTCCTCTAACCGGGATTAGGGTGAGTGGGTGGGAAGTGAAGAGGAGGGGGAGGAGAGAGGCAAGGCCAGGACATACAAGGTCTAGAGTATTATATAAATCAGATTTTGGCTTTTGTTCTAAGTGTGAGGGGAAGCCAGTGGAGGGTTCTGAGCAGAGAAATGACATGATCTGACTTATCTTTTAGAAAAACTGTCTAGCTGCTGGGTGGAGGAAGAACTCTGGAGGGGAGGAACTCCTCGGGGAGATTAGTCAGGTGGTTACAGCAGAAAGATGGGCTAGAAAGGGTGCCCTGGGCCAGGCTGGAGGCCAAAAGGTGGTGAGAAGTAACCACATTCTGGATGTGCTTTGAAGGCAGATCCAAAAGTATCTGCTGAGAGCAAGAGGAGTCGAGTATAGTACATGGGCCCGAGTGGAGACACCATTTACTACAGGGGGGAGGACACAAGAGGGACAGAGTACCTTGGGTGGAACCAGGGCTTGGCTGTGGATCGGTTAAGTCTGAGACACCTTTCAGAACACTGGGTGGAGATATACAGGAAGCAGATGGCTTGTTGAGCCTGGAGCTGAGGAAAGAGGCCGAGCGAGGCTGGAGCTAGAAATGTGCAGTAACGGCACAGATGCGTGGGGAGAACAGGAGTACTGCAGGTGGAGAGAGAAGACATCTGGGGCTGAGTCTGGGGGCCCTGCAACACTTCAGGCATAGAAGAGGAGGGCCTGGCACTGATGAGTGAGAAAGTGCGCCCTGGGAGGTGGGAGAAAAGCTACGAAAGTGTGTGCGTCTCAGAAGTCAAGGGAGAAGGTGTCCTGAGCAGGAAGGAAGAATAAACTGTGAACACCGAGGAAACTTCATTTCCTCATTTTCTCTGGCCAGATCCCAATTATCTCACAGAATTCATCTGTTTGACCCTCTCCATCAGAAAGCTCCGAATGTTTTGTTGTGGGGATTGAATGAAAACAGCCCTTACGTTAAACATAAGCCTGACAGAAATTTAGTAATTTCTTCGATGAGGCTGGCATCAAAGCACCCAGAGTACTAATTCCACCCTTCTAAGTTGGTAATTCCTTATCTTTCCCCCCATCACTAAAATCCTCCAAAGTATGGCATATGACATTTTTTTTTTTTTTAAGATTTTATTTATTTATTTGACAGAGAGAGAGACACAGCAAGAGAGGGAACACAAGCGGGGGGAGTGGGAGAGGGAGAAGCAGGCTCCC